GGGGGGGGGGGGGGGGGTCCTTCCTGACCCCAAATGCAGTGTCAGCCTAACCCCAAAAGCAGAGCAGAAGGGCAAGCTCCTCTGAGTTTGAGTCCCAGCAGGATCATTGGCACAGCCCAACCACAGTCCCCAGCCTGGGCTGCAGCCATCACCCAGTGCTCCTGAAGGAGGCTTAAAAAAAACCCTGACATACATAGCAGAAAAGGAGGGCAGGGGCAAACAGCACAGCCCAGAAGCTTGGGAAATGCCACAGTAGAGCACAGGCATGCTACAGCTAGATAATCCCTGCCCAGTGGCTGTTTAGCCTCTCTCTGAGTACTTCCAGTGAGGGAGACTCCACAACTTCCCTGACATCTATTCCACAGCCTCCCTGCTCTGATGGGGAAGAAGTGTTACTGGATCTCCAGTATAAACCTGCTTTGCTGCAACTTCCAGCCATTGCTCCGCATCCTCCTCTCTGCAGCGAGAGAAGAGGGGCTTTTCCTCTTCTTTCTGGCAGCCCTTCAGGGATTTGCAGGCTACTGTCATGGCCCCTCTTAGGCACTTTTTCTGCAAGCTGAACCTGCCCAGATCCTCCAGCCTCTCCTCATATGACTTGCCTTCCAAGCCCTGAATCATCTCTTGCTGCCACTGGACCCTCTCTAACGTCTCCACATCTTTTTTGTGGAAATGTGGAGCCCAGAACTGCACACAGCATCCAGATAAAACCTGACCCATGCCAAGCAGAGGCATTATCACCTCCCGTGTCTTGCACCTGATGTTTCTGTTGCTGGAGCCCAAACTGCATTGGCCTTTTGTGCATCTGCATCACACTGCAGACTCCTATTGAGTCTGTGATCTACCAGGACTCCCCAATCCTTTTCCATGGTGCTGCTATCTAGCCAGGGGTCCCCCATTTTGTATCTGTGCTTTTGATTATTCCTCCTGTAAGACACACAAAATGTAGGGAGAATGCAAAAACTAAATGTACTGTCATGTTGTGCTGCAAGATGTTTTGGTTTCATATTTGCTGCGTGTATTGTTCTGTGCAGTAGTGTGCTTTAGTTTGACCCATGTCTATTTTGCTGTAATATTGCATCTTTCCTTTCATAGACAGCGAGGGTTGGAAGGGACCTCAGGAGGTCACATCTAGTCCAACCCCCGCTCAAAGCAGAACCAGCCCCAACTAGATCATCCCAGCCAAGGCTTTGTCAAACCCCCCCCATTCCCTGCCTGATCCCTTGATTGTTGATCTGGAGGAAGCATGCTGCCTGGACAGTAGGCAGGAAAGCCCCGTCCTGTGTGGCATTTGTTTTAGGACTCCCTCTTCCCCCGCTGTGTGTTGAGACCAGAAAACCTGGTCTCCCTCATACAGCCTGCAAATCAGAGGATACCTGAAACCTGGCCTCGTTGGCCAGGGTCTGCAGTGTTCGTTTAGATTAATTGGTTGGGAGGCCTGAAAGTAAGACTGGGAAAGCTAGGGTGATGTCATGCCAGGTACATGGGAAGGACAGTTAGCTAAAAGGGGGCTGGAGCTGGGAGCTAGGAGAAAGGACCCCAGAGAGGTGCCCCAGCCAGAGGAGCCAAGGTAGAAGGGGAAACACAGCCAAGCATTGCCACTGGTAGGCCTGGCTCCTGAGCTTTTTGCAGATCTTCTCTGTCCCAGCAGAGCTGTGCGATCAGGACTAGGTATTTGGGGGTACGCTATGCTGACTGCAGCCACAGCCACTCCGCACCCCCAGCCACCACATGGAAGTGGAGGTTTGCATCCTACAGCCTTGCACTACAGAATGACCAATGCTCACTAGCAATGCCCCAAGTCACAGCAAACCCCAGGAGCAGCTCCTAGGACTCTCCAGTGTGGGCCCCCCTCCACAACCTGTGGCTGAGTGGCAGGGATGGGGGGGTGCAGGCCCCTAGAAATAACCTTTTGAGCAAGCCCCAAGTCCCAGACTGCCTGGGCACAGGTGGAGTCTCTCCAAAGATGTGCAAACCAGAGACAACACTTTGCAATTGACAGCATTTCAAATTGCATTTTGGGTTTTCTTTGTCTTTACCTGCTGTGATTAATCTGATCTTTGCATTTACACAGACCCCTTCTTGCAAACAGTGTATGGGTGAGACCCCTGTTCAATTCAGTGATCCCAGGTTTCTGTGAGAGAAACTTATTGGGTCCCCTGAAATTTGAACCCTGGCCTTGTTGCTGCCGCCTGGTGCCTGGTGGAAAAGTTACTCTCCCGAGCTGCAGCACCTTGTATTGGTCCATACTCAGCTTCATCCTGTTGCTCCAGCCCAGCTTCACAACCTGTCAAGATCCTTCTGAATTGCGCTCGTCTGCTCCAGCATACTCACAGTCCTTCCTAGTTTCACGTCATCTGCAAACTTGCTCCCAAAGCTGCCTATGCCAGCATCCAAATCATTCATAAACGCATTGAATAGCACTGGGCCCAGGACAGACCCTTGTGAGACTCCACTCAAACCTCCTGCCGCTCTGACATGGACCCACTCATAACTACTTTGCTTGTGGCTATTGAGCCAGTTATCTGTCTACCCTGGAGTACTTCTGTCCAGCCCATGTGTCTCCAATTTTGTTTACAAGAAGGCCATGTGGGGCCTTGTCAGAAGTCTTGCAGATCCAGATCCCCTCTATCCACAGCATTCCCCTCATCCACCCAAGTCATTACTTTGTCAAAGAAAGAGATCAAGTTTGTCTGACTATTTGTTTTTCATTAATCCATGTTGGCTCCTTGTGATCAGCCTTTCCTCCTCCAGATGTTTGCAAATGGCCTTCCTTAGGATCTGCTCCACTAGCTTCCCAGGTATGGAGGTGAGACTACCCAGTCTGCCATTCCCCAGGTCCTTCTTTTCTAAAGAGGAGCACTGCACCAGCCTTTCACCAGTCCTCTGGTACCTGGCCCATCTCCCGCAACTGCATGACGATCATTGCCAAGGGCTCTGCGCTCTCCTCTACCAGTTCCTTCAGGACCCTGGGATGAAGCTCCTGTAGCCCTACTGACTTGAGTTTATTCAGACCCATCAAAAGCTCTCTGAACCTCTTTCTTGTTATCTCCTCCCTCCCCTTGTCCCCCTTCTCCTTATCCAGATCATCCTTATGAGGTGTTTGGCAATAGCTTAATGTTTTTGTGAAGACTGCAGCAAAGGAGTTGTTGAGTAGCTCCACTTTCTTGCATCTACTGTTAGAGGTCCCCCCGGCTCGATCCAGGGGACCGGCAGCTTCCGTGGTCCTTCTCTTCTGGCCAACAGACTTACAGGTTAAAGAAGCTCTGCTCGTCTTTAACCCCCTTCACCAGGTGCAGCTTTTTCTGTATCTTTGCCTTCCTGATCTTGGCCCTGCCAATTCCTGCAACTTCTTTGTCTCTGATTCCAGGCAGGGAGCTGCGGAGGTCTCAGCAATCCTAGCCCTGCCCAAGCT